GCCTGCGTGTGTGTGGGAAAGTGTGTGCATGTGTGTGTTTGTGTCTTTTTTGGGGGGGGGGTGTCTGCCCTCGTCATAGTCCCCAGCCATTTTGTCCAGATTACCTGAGGGCTTTGGGTTTAAAAATCAAAGTCCCAAACCTCGGGCCATCTATGTTTTCCACCTGGTTCCTCCTTCCTGGAGGTGGTGACATGCAGTCCTTTAGTGCAGGGGTCCTCAAACTTTTTAAACAGGGGGCCAGTTCACTGTCCCTCAGACCGTTGGAGGGCCGGACTATAGTTTAAAAACAAACTATGAACAAATTCCTATGCACACTGCACATATCTTATTTTGAAGTAAAAAAACAAAACGGGAACAAATACAATATTTGTATTTGCATGTGGCCCGCGGGCCGTAGTTTGAGGACCCCTGCTCTAGTGCCTCGAGATGGGGGTACATTACTTGGGGCAGCAGGGAGAAGGGACGGCAGCAAAACTGTCTCACCGTATTTCTCCATACTGTTCTGTTACCTTCCTACCTGCGATGAAGTTGCTGGAATTGATCTTGTAAAGTTGGCGTGCAGATGTGTTCTGTTTCTCGTATCTTCTGATCTGCCTACCAAGTACCATTAACCAGAGTCTTGTACACATATGGGAAGGAAGGGAGCGCCCTGGGCTGGCTGAGATCAGGAATCACAAGCTCAAGCTTAGGACTCATTGTGTCCTCAGCACTTTGTTTCCATTTAGTCCTCACCACCTCTAAGGAGGTTGGCGCTGCTGTTTTGACTGACGGGGAAACAGAGGCACTGAAGTGATGTAAGCTGCCCGCAGGCACACCGGTAGGTAGAGAGTGGCAGAGCAAGGAGTTGAACCTGGGGGCCTGGCCTGAGTCCTCCCACCAAGTGTGTTGTAGGGCCGTGGGCATCAGCCTCACCGGGGGCCGCGGCCTCCTTGGGACCGTGTTCTGCACGCCATGTGCACGGGGCAGGGCCAGGTGCCCAGGTTTCAGCGTAGGAACCTGAAGGTGCTTCCCCTCACCCCCCTCCTCCTTACTGAGTGAGTCTGGGAGGTGCAGGGGCCTGCTGCTCTGCTGCTGGACAGCGCCCTGCTTTTTCCCTCTGTCCAGTTCTCTGCAGTCTTTGAACGCGGGTCTTTCCTCCCTGAGCCCCAGCAGCAGAGCTCTAGGTACAGCTGGCACTATGTTCCTGGGACAGCGGTGTTGGGCAGTGGACAGAACCTGGAGCTGGCATGTATGAGGGAGGCTGCATGGCATTGTTTTAGGGTCGGTAGTTTGGCATTCACATTCCCAGAGTCAGGCTGTACGGGGGACTGTTCCTGTCTAGGCCCCAGGGGAGCCCAGTTCCATTTGTCTACACCTGGTCATCTCCACGTGGGGACAGCCCTGTGCAGGAATCTTGTGGGAGCTGAACTCTATTTATAGGGAAAAGTCGCTTCCAGACTATACTCCATACTTTTCAGGACCAGTGGTAGAGGAGTGGTCCTGCCCTCAGATCGCTACCTTGCTGACTGCTGTCCTGTGGTGAGGTGGGGAAGTTCCTCCTTCCTTGGAAAACACTTCTTTGACTTCCTCACAACGCATGGGCCATCTGTGTTGGGGTGACTCCCCAGCAGGTCCACCCCTTCCTGCCTTTCAACCTTTCTCCCCCCCCCCTTTTTTTTACTTTTATTAGCATTTATTTTATATTGAATTTACTCCTGAGCCATTCGTTTTTGTTTCTTCAGTTTTTCTTCTGTGCAACCTTCTCTTCAGGTTTAGGGACCATATGCTCTTTTTCAGTGAGGATCATCTCCATGTGGCAGGGAGAGCTCCTGAATGAGCTGATCCCCCCCATGAGCTCTGTAAGTTCTGTGTTACCTCTTCGGAGCTTTGTTCACCTGGATGAGCTCAATGAACCATAGAATCTATATCTAAACCCTGCAGTTCAGCATTGCTCTCTGCATTTTTAACCATGTGTAGCAAAATTCAGCACTCTTTTTAAAAAATCTTGATTGTTAAGAGAGTATTACAGATGTCCTTTCTCCCCACCCCCACCCCACCCCCCTATTGCTTTTCTCCATCTGGATCTTGCCCTACCCCAAGCCTATTGTCTGTGTCCATGAGTTATGCATATTCTATATAATAAAACCCTAATATGCAAATCAACCGAACGGTGATATGACAGGTCACTATGATGCACACTGACCACCAAGGGGCAGATGCTCAACGCAGAAGCTGCCCCCTGGTGGTCAGTGCGCTCCCATAGGGGGAGTGCCGCTCAGCCAGAAGCTGGGCTCACGGCTGGCGAGCACAGTGGCAGCGGGGGGAGCCTCTCCGCCTCTGCTGTAGGTGGGTGGTAAGGAGCGAAGGGTCCCGGACTGTGAGAGGGTGCAGGCTGGCTGAGCGACCTCCCCCCGGCCCCCCAATGCACTAAATTTTGTGCACTGGGCCTCTAGTCTACACTAATAAAAGAGAAACATGCAAATTGGTGTCACTCTGCTCCCACCAGCCGCCTCTACACTAATAAAAGAGAAACATGCAAATTGGTGTCACTCCGCTACACCCACCAGCCAATCATAGCAACTGTGCAAATTAACCAAACAAAGATGGCAGTTAATTTGCATATGCAGGCGCAGAGCGAAGACTGAAGATTGAAGAGGCTTGGTTTCTCTGCTGTGGCTGCAGTGGAGAAGCCAAGCCTCGCTGGGGCCGGACCAAAGGCCTGGGTCCCAGGTGCCGGAAGAAAACTGGTGCTGGCAGCCAGGGGAAGGAAGGCCTATTGCACAAATCTCTTCGTGCAACGGGCCTCTAGTATGTATATAAGTTCTTTGTTAATTTCCTCCTGTCCCTCTTCCCCCCTTCCCTTTGAGATATGTCAGCCTATTTCATGCCTCTTGTTCTATTTTATTCATCAGTTTATTTTTTTTCTTTAGATTCCTTTGTTTAATTTGAATTTTAAATTCAATTGTTGATAGATATGTATTTATTGTCATTTTATTCATATTTTTTATCTTCTTATTTCTTCTTCTTAAAGAAGACCTTTTAACATTTTATGTAATACTGGTTTGGTGGTGGTGAACTCCTTTACCTTTTTCTTGTCTGGGAAGCTCTCTATCTGACCTTCAATTTTAAATGATAACTTTGCTGGGTAGAGTAATCTTGGTTGTCATACCTTGCTTTTCATTAATTTGAATATTTCTTGTCACTCCCTCTGGCCTGCAAAGTGCCACGAACCCTGTGTGCAGCCCCACTGTTTGACCATCTATTCCCCCTCCCCCACCCCCCAACCACCATTGTAACGACGAATGGCACACATTGCTTCTGTAAAGTGACATCCTTCAGATACCTGGTGGTTTTTGGATATGCATAGCCTTGATGGCCTGGGCGGTTTCATGGGTGTTCTTAAAGTGAACACGAAGTGTTGAACCTCTTGATTTACATTATTTTTGGGGTTTTCAAGTGAGTAGCGAATTATTTTCAGAGGTCACCTCAGGCAGTTTACGGAAGAGCTCTCTCAACTTTCTTTTGGATAATATTTCAGACTTAAACACTGCAGGTGTAGTACAAGGAATTCCTATGGACCCTTTTCTCAAATTCACCAGTTTTTCATTCTTTCTTTCTATTGATTGATCTATCTCCACACATAGACTTGTTTTTCCTAACCACAGCACAGAATCAAAGTCAGGAAATTTAACACTGAGTCAGCATTGTTATCTAGCCCACAGTCCATATTCACCTTTCAGTTTACTACCATTTATATTTGGTGTTTTTTTGTAGGAGTAGAACTTTCAAAGGAATGAACTGTGGTCAGATATTCTATCTCAAAAGCCTCCTTAAGAAAAAAACAGGTTTCTAAAACTTAGAATGCTCGTTGTGAAAAATTTGGAAAGTACAGAAAAGCAAAAGAAGAAGAAGAGAAAAGCACTCACAATTCCAGCACAAAAGCTTAGTGCTGTGCCAGGTGGAGAGCTCGTGAAAGGTGCTGGAAGACCCAGCTCTGTGTTCTGGTCACCGGAACCTGCTCTCACACACCCAGGCAGCAGCCCAAAGCCAGTACGGGGCTGTGGGGAAGAGAGGGCTCCTGTTTGGAGCCAACCTAACTTCATGCCCCTGCCCACCACTTGGGGGGCTGCCACCTGAGCAAGTGAACTGAATGACCGCAGGGTGGGGCAGGGTGTAGGTCATTATTAAATACCCAAAACTTGTTCAAGACCTGAGAAGTGTTGCAGGTCCCCTCTTGTCTGCTCTATACCCCTTTCCCCCCGAGACTTAGCAAAGGGCAAGGATGGACATGGGGCCTTGGTCGGGAGAAACACCGCTGGCTCTTGGCAAACATCTCATAATTATTTAATACTACTTTTGTTATCCTCTTGGCCTGCTACCAGTGGGCCAGTGGAGAAAGAAGAGGTGAAACTCTAAGTTGTGAATTTTGTTTTTTGTTAGTGACTGCTCCATTTCCTAGGGGAAGGTTTAAGAACCGTTTGAAGTGTGGCTCTTCCTCTGCCTTTCATGTATCAAGGCCATCATCCCCTTTGCCATCACCTGCAATAACTGAGTGGGGCTCCACTTTTTCCTGGCCAGAAAAGGATCTTCGCTGAGTGAGTCTTGTTTCAGGAATGATTTTTTCTTAGAAGCTGCTGTTGCGTTGTCCACGGCTCCCGGTCATCTGTTTCTCAGTTTCCCTGAGCTGGTAATGTACATTGTGTATGAAGAGACCTCTGAAGGTCGTGATCAAAAGCCTCAAGTATTTTTCATGTGTTTGTTTTTTCTTCCCCTGCACCAGACCCTCCCTTGAAGGAGCTGGCCTTGAGAGTGACTGTGGCGGGCAGCTGCCTGGGGTGTGCACACCCCGCTGGGGCACGGAATGCCTAACCTGGATGGGCCAGGATGGCAGGGCTCTTCTTCAAAGAAATCCTTTGAAGTGCAAACATTTCCTTTCCTGAAAAGAAGGGAAATTGAAATTGTTCTGTGCAGACAATGTTCTCTTAGATCAAAGAGGGAGTGAGGCTTATAAAGGGAGATTCATAATAGACCTACTGTGGCACGGTGGAGATGTGACTGTGTTGATGTCAATGTCCACTGCCCGGAGTGTGAGTTGGTGAGTTGATACTTTCCTTTTAAAAAAAAAAGTTTATTGAGGTCCTAAATCTAGACCTGACAATGTTATATTTAACTATGTCTCTCTCTTGTGTTTTTATATTGTGTTAAGCATTTAGAAAGACCTTTTGGGAAATTATGACACCTCCATGATGGAAAATTTGGTAGCTAATAGAAATGGCGTTTTCATAGGACATTTGATCTAATAGGAAAATCTTTACTGTTCAAAGTGAAAAATATCTGGATGGAATTTTTCCTATTGAGTGTTATCTTAATGCAACACATGTATTTACACAGAAAGAAGTGTTTGAACCGCCTTTTGTCTTGCTTAGAAAACAAATATTCTTTAACAAGGCCGTGTGTATAATTCTGAAAATAATTGTAAAGAAAGGGAATTGATCCTACAGAACAAGAGCACAGGGACATAACAACTAGCATCAGATAACTTGCCTCCTTTATTAAAACCGTACAAATCTCTGTCCTTGTTTCTCATAAACTTCTTTTATTTATTATACTTCTCAATAAAAATAAACTTAGTGTAAGAATTCAGAATACTTAATTTACAGTCTCTTAAAATTTTATCTCTAAGTTACAAATATCATCACCACTGTTAGTATTCGAGAAGATTCTTCCAAAACTTGATTTTATGCTGTTGTTATGCTAATATTCTGTGAAATAAGGGATACTCTGTCGTTGTCATTATATAACATGTCCCCTTGAACCTACAAACTTAACGTTTTAGCAGCTAGTTTGGTTTTTTAAAAAACAGCTTTTGTTGGAAGACATGTCTTTTTCGCTTAATGGCAATGTTGGGAGACATTAGGCAAAAACATTCCTTAATTTTTTGAGTAACTGTACTGAACTGGGAAGAATGTCTCCCTAGTCTGAGTTTGATACAATCAGAATTTGGGAAAATTATCCGATAATTTTCCCTAGGATTTGGGCTCAGTTACTGAAAGACTGTCTTGGGTCTGTGGTCTGGTGAGGTGAGGGCATAGCTTTCTTGGGCCATTTTGAGTGGGGGCAGAGCCTGGGCACAGGCCGTGGCTGGAACATTCCATACACATTCAGGCACTTTCCTGTTGCTCTGGCTGCCGGCCTGTTAACATCTTGCCTGAGGATCTGCAAGGGAGTTCTTCTGGAATCGCCCTGGAGAGCCTTTGAGTTGGTGGGAGATGAATGTGGAACGTCCTGGGTTGGCTGGCTCTGACACCCCAGCTGGCCCCTAAAAACCCCAGCAGGAGTCTCTCCCACTAGGTGTGTGGCCATGTAGTACAGAAACACCATTTGCCCTGAAGAGGAGGGCCTCCCTGGGAGCCATGAGAGAGAGAGAGGAGCTTTCCCTCCACACTTAAGCAGCCCTGCCCCAAATTTAAATGAGCGGATGACTCAGAAACTGTAGTCCTCTTTCCTTCTTCTGTAATTACTGTTAGACTGTCTGAAGCTTACAGGACTTTATTACTTGTCTGGGCATGGGAAAGACTCCTTGAAATTTTGTGCCCTGAGGGCCACATACCTTCCAGGTCTAGACCTCATGAAAGGCCTGCATCTACACATGGAAACTGTACACTGATAAAAAAAAAAAAAAAGTGTAAACCCAGGGACAAGACTAACCATGTCATATTTTGTTTCTGGAAATTTAGCACACAAAACAAGAGACATTTTCTCCGTATAGTGTATCTTGGGCAACTTTTTGATTTGCCTCTCCATCTCTATCTAAAAAGCATATAGGTAGGTATACACATGGATTGGACAGACATGGAAATACAGGCAGGCGTTAAGGATAGAGAAAATACATTTTAGTGAGTCTACAAGTTCAGTAATTTACATAATGTAATAGGGTCTTCCAAACCCTAAAATCAAACTTCAGATGTCTTTAAACAACCTAGGCCAGGACATGCATACACACAACCCCCTAAGCCTGCATAAGGTTTACTTACATTGGGTTCTGGATAATAGGGATGAATGGCTAAAGGTAAAAGGGCAGGCCCACCTGGGTCCCAGAAGTGCTGGACTCTGCCAACAGGGGAGACCTGCTTTTGAATAGTCAGGGAAGAAGTTGGCTGCATTTGCCTGTCCTTCAATTAAAAGCTTGGTGCCTCGTGTGTGTATTTGCACTGGGAAATGTGAGGTAAGAGAAGTCTGCAAAGCAGACAGTGGTCCTGCTTCCCCAAGTGCTTTACTGAAAATGTTCTGAAAGTGTCGGGAAGTTCCCCGGAATTCCTTGATCTAAATGGAATTCTTGTACTTTCTCACAGGGGGAGAGGTGGGGAGAAGCAATGGGGATGGAGTGTTACTACATTCAGTTGTATATGATTTTTATTTTTGCTGGGTTGTCTGGTTCATTAATTCATATGCTCATTAGAAGGCTTTCTGTTAAGTGACATGGAAACATCATTGACATTGTTCTTCAAAATGTGGGACTCGTGACCCTCCTGTAAAGGGTGGAGAGCCAGGACTAGAACTGGGGAGAGCTTTGGATGGTGGGGTTAGGGCAGCCGTGGGCAAACTACGGCCCGCTGGCCGGATCCGGCCCATTTGAAATGAATAAAACTAAAAAAAAAAAGACCGTACCCTTTTATGTAATGATGTTTACTTTGAATTTATATTAGTTCACACAAACACTCCATCCATGCTTTTGTTCCGGCCCTCCGGTCCAGTTTAAGAACCCATTGTGGCCTTCGAGTCAAAGTTTGCCCACCCCTGGGTTAGGGTGTGGTCGGCATGGGTGGGACTGATTGTGCCCTGCGGTGGCTTTCACATTTTGTATTCTTCATGTAGCACCCTTATGAAAGCCCACCATAGCATTGTTTCTTTGGGAAAATCAGATTTAATTTATGGCACCTCATGTGGAAATGTAGAGGGTAGCTTATAATAATCACCTTGTTTACACCTTTCAGTCTCTAGAAACTTGCACATTTTAGATTTGTCTCACCAGGTGTTGAGATGAGCAGTGTGTTGCATGGGTGAAACTTTGCAGTTGGGCCTGTGAATAATTGTGCTGCTTATAACACTCACCTTGGCAGAGAGGAAAATCCATCAGCCAAGGGAGTGTGTCTTGATAGTTCAGCAAAGCAGCCAGGGGAGGAAATGAAGACACATTTTAAGGTGTGAAAAAAGCCTCTAAAGGAGAAGGCTGTGCTGTCCAGCGCAAGGAACCCCCTCCCTCCATGTGTGTTCGTGGGTTGTCTGAGCAGGGCGAGGGGTAACCCATAAAGCAGGGACGTTTCATGAATGTGCTGGGAAGCCGGAGATGGTGAACATGGCTTGATGAAAGGTGCTTAGAGCCTGCAGTCCTCTGTCCCCTGCTGCCTGGCCCTGAGGTCCTCCTGGGACCCAACACCTCCTCCTCTCTGAGTGCCCCCGGCTTGCCTCCTCCTCACGTAGGCACGGGCCAGGAGTCCAGAGACCAGAAATGTTGAGCAGGGACTACAAAAAGAAAAGGCCCTGGGCCCAGTGTCCAGATCCTCCCCCTTCCTTGGAATACTCCAGAAGAGCCATGCTAGTCACAACTGTACATTTCCTCATGCCTGTGGCAGTGAGCAGATTGGGGCAGGTCATTCCTGCTCTTGATGCAGCCCCCTGGGTGCTTGCAGACAGGTGGGGTCAGGAACTTCCTCCCTGGGCAGCTGGTGGCTGGTAACAGCCCCTTGACAACAGTAACCTTTTGTGTGGGGCATCTCCTGCTGAGGTTTTGGAAAACTGGGATAGGCCCTGAGAAGTTTCAGTCCCACACTATCTCACCAGGGAGGAAGCTGGAGGGAGGTTATTTTTCAAAAGGATCAGACAGCCATACACATACAAATATATACAGGCCCCACCAAAGGGAAAAGAAAGCAAGCTGGCGTGTTAAAACTTTTTTTTTGCAGTTGGAATTTAGGATGAAGCCCTTCTGTAGCAGTGCTTCTAGAAAGAGTCGTCTTCTGCCAGAAACGTTTCTTTTGGAAAATCCTTCAGTGTTCCTGCCTCTGCTTCTCTCTTCCTCCTCTGAGACACATACTCTGCCTGCCTAGTGGGATAGAGACACAAGTGATGTTAAAGGTGTGAGAGAGAAGGGGAAGGGTCGTGCCTGCTATCAGGTACGCATGCAGAAATAAGGGCAAACATGACTTTGTGAACTGCTTTCTGTAATCTGGGTTAGACCAGCCTGAGACGAAAGGGGGCACCCTGTTAAGGACACTCTGCCCAAGCCCTTTAGATTTGCCTTATCAGACCTGACCCGTTGATGGGAGAGCCTTCTTATTTGGATATGCAGATGTGTGTATATAAAAATAACACGCCCTTGCATTGAGTTCACAGAAGGTTCAAAGGAAGACAAAGGATGGCAAGTAGTCAGGTTTGCAAAAAAGGCTTCAATTGTGCAGCCCAAGTTCAGATGCTTTAAATCTGCTCTGTGGACAGAAATCCGATAAGGGTTATATTACAGAGGAGGGGAACGTTCTGATCTGCCAGTCCCAAGGAAAACTTTGCTTTTGTTTGGGGGTGGAGGAGAGTTCATATGAGGGGTGACGAAGATTTGGGACTTCCCCGTCTGGCAATACCGAGAGAAGGAGTGACCGTAAGACTCTTGGAGGCTATGGCAGGTCGAACCACAGATTTATCACCCAGCTTTGGAAGTCAGAGCTTCTCGCTTGTCTGGATTCTCAAATGTTTTAAAATAAATAGGAATCAAAAAGTGCTTTCCACAGCCCATGATAAATGGACAACCAGCAGGAGCAGAGGTGTGAAAAGGAGGAGGCTCGGGGAGAATGTCCTTGTTGGTCGCTCGGGGGAGCCAGGGGTGCCTGGGTTGTCTCCTAACAGCCCTGTACGGACAGGTCTGCTCACAAAGATGGCCTTGCGAGCTTTCCCAAAGACGGGACTCTTGGCCAGAGAAGACCACGTTTGACTGAGATATTATTTCCTATGTTTTTGGCATTTCAGAGTGGAGCAGGACACCTATCCATGTTGTCCTTGTAAAGTGAGTTGCAGCCCCAGGATGGACACAGCCCTCTCGTCTGA